GCCCTCCACATACAACTCTAGTCAATCGTGATTTTCTACCCACTTGTCTTTTTTTATCTTAAAACCTTGCTCCAGGTGAGGCTCGAACTCACAACCTCGGCATTGCTAAGCATTGTACTGTCTTATAAGTACCGCGCGCTGACCGATTGCGCCACTGGAGCTGTTGCATAACGTGATTTCAAACAATGCCGTGATTCCTAAAACAACAATGATGATACAATCTACAGCTTAGTTAGCATAGACAGTATAGTATCGAAGATACAATCAGCAAGTTTTTTGCTCTCCACAATCTACTCTGGACAGCACTAGCTTTCACCCCACTTTTCTTCTTTATCTAAAGACCATGCTCCAGGTGAGGCTCAGAGTCACAACTTCGGCATTGCTAAGCATTGTATTGTCTTATAAGTACCACACGCTAACCGATTGCGCCACTGGAGCTATTGCATTAAGTTATTTCAAACAATGCAGTGATTCCTAAAACATACCTGATTCAGATCATACTGGATTAAAAGCTTTCAGAGACCTTGATGTTTTAGTTCAGGTGTTAAGGATTAGCATAGATGATAGAACCTGCAGGTTGGTTGCCCTCCTTAGCGCACTCTGGTCAATGGTAATATTTAACCCCCTTGTCTTCTTTATCTTAAAAACATGCTCCAGGTGAAGTTTGAACTCACAAGCTCAGCATTGTTAAGCATTGTACTGTCTTATAAGTTCCACGCGCTGACCGATTTCACCACTGGAGCTGTGGGCTCAATGTTTTCAAACAGTGCAGTGGTTCCTAAAACATTCCTGATTCAGATCATAGAGGATTAAAAGCTTTCAGAGACATTGATGTTTTAGTTCAGCTGTAAGAGATTTGCAAAGATGGTACCGTCTGCAGGTTGGTTGCCCTCCACATACAACTCTAGTCAATCGTGATTTTCTACCCACTTGTCTTTTTTCATCTTAAAACCTTGCTCCAGGTGAGGCTCGAACTCACAACCTCGGCATTGCTAAGCATTGTACTGTCTTATAAGTACCGCGCGCTGACCGATTGCGCCACTGGAGCTGGTGCATAACGTGATTTCAAACAATGCTGTGATTCCTAAAAACAGCAATGATAATACAATATACAGCTTAGTTGGCATAGACAGATTAGTATCGAAGATACAATCAGCAAGTTTGTTGCCCTCCACGATCTACTCTGGACATTGTATTGTCTTATTAATACCACACGCTATCCGATTGCGCCACTGGAGCTATTGCATGAAGTGATTTCAAACAATGCAGTGATTTCTAAAACATTCCTGATTCAGATCATAGAGGATTCAAAGCTTTTAGAGACCTTGATGTTTTAGTTCAGCTGTAAGTGATTTGCAAAGATGGTACCGTCTGCAGGTTAGTTGCCCTCCACATACAACTCTAGTCACTCGTGATTTTCTACCCACATGTCTTTTTTATTTTAAAACCTTGCTCCAGGTGAGGCTCGAACTCACAACCTCGGCATTGCTAAGCATTGTACTGCCTTATAAGTACCGCGCGCTGACCGATTGCGCCACTGGAGCTGTTGCATAATGAGATTTCAAACAATGCAGTGATTCTTAAAAACAGCAATGATGATACAATTTACAGCTTAGTTAGCATAGACAGATTAGTATCGAAGATACAATCAGCAAGTTTTTTGCCCTCCACAATCTACTCTGGAAAGCACTAGCTTTCACCCCACTTTTCTTCTTTATCTAAAGACCATGCTCCAGGTGAGGCTCAAAGTCACAACCTCGGCATTGCTAAGCATTGTATTGTCTTATAAGTACCACACGCTAAACCGATTGCGCCACTGGAGCTATTGCATGAAGTGTTTTCAAACAATGCAGTGATTTCTAAAACATTCCTGATTCAGATCATAGAGGATTAAAAGCTTTCAGAGTAGGGATGGGAAGATTAATCGATATGTATCGATACGCGGTCATGCGCGTGCACGATGCGAGTGCATCGGTTGAGCAGCAGAGGATGAATGAAATTTTGGAAGCAAATCGAGATGCATCGGTTTTTGCGAGATGCATCGGTTTTTCCGAGATACAGCTTATTTTTTTAATATAGAATGTATTTTTTATTTATTAACAAGTGTTGTCAACCTGTTTTTGGCGCATAATTTAATCGACCTACATAAAGTAAGCCTTAGCAACGGATTAGCGGATGTGTACACTTACACTACAACTCAGTGTATCAGGTGTGCGGATGAAGCTAGTGATGCGCCCTCAGAAAGCGCGAGAAGCAAAACAAACATTTTATTCCCCACTGAGTTTTAAATCTAAAGTATGGCAACATTATGGATTTAAGGATGGACGACTTGACAGGACAGATGCAATTTGCAAAATGTGCCGCGCATCTATAAAATATGCGGGCAGTATGAGTAATCTGATATCTCACTTGAAGCGGCGCCACGGTGTTGTTGTGAAAGCATCTTCCAGTGTTCCTACATCTCCGGCTTTCGCACTGCTTGAACTGTAGCTACCAGCTCCAAAAGTGGTGAGAAAAGCATTGCAAGTTTTTTTTTCCATGCGCAAAAGTTTTGTGCGCTCTATGCCAATAACGGATGTTATTGCATTGTTCATCTGCAGGGCCGGAGCAAGCTGAACTGCTGCTCTAGGCAGAGGACGATCACGCCGCCCTCAACCCCAATGTGAAAACGAAAGTGACCGGTTATGAAAATGAAGTGACGTGTCGCGGACCTCTGCCGCCTTATGCGCGGATATAACTGAGGACGCGCGGGTGTCGCGGACCTCTATTCTTCCGCCCTATGCGCGGATATAACTGAGGACGCGCGGGTGTCGCGGACCTCTATTCTTCCGCCCTATGCGCGGATATAACTGAGGACGCGCGGGTGTAGCGGACCTCTATTCTGCCACCCTATGCGCGGATATAACTGGGTGTTGCGGACGCCGCCCACTCTATACTGCCGCACTAGGCGGTTTTAAACACCTCCTCCTGTAAATTTTTATTTAATTATAATAATAATAATAATATTAATAATAATAATAATAAAAATAATGGGTGTCACGGTGGCACAGTGGGTATTTTGACCACCTCAAAGCAAGAAGATTGCTGGTTTGTTATATTTTTATTAGCCTGTTGTTTACAGTGACAGTGATGTTTCAACGCAGCATAACACTGCTAGTTCACGACCTTAAGTTTTGAATAATCAGTGGCAAAATAAATCTTTGTAAAACTTGTTTTCATAGTTGAAAAGTTAAATCACAATTCTTGTTGTGCAATGGTAAACCTTTATGTTGAAAGAGTGCAAATATATATATTTTAATATATATTGCACTTATACATTCTGTTTATCTTGAAAATACTTAAATAATATGTGCTATAGGTTCTAAAATGGCCCTCTACTGTAAACTGACACTCTGGCTCTGAGAGAAAAGCCAGTTTGTAAAAAAAGTCTTGGTTTTGCTTGGTTAATAAATAATCAAACTCATTCAATGGCACAGCATCCTCTTTCACATCATCTCATAAACTTGATTTAATTAGTTAGTGCTGAATTATCGCATCGTATCGTGATATGGGTGTGAATCGTATCGTGTCGCATCGCAATATGTCATAAATGTATCGCTAATATATCGGATCGTATTCTTTGTATCGAGATGCGTATCGGATCGGCATTATAGCTTAGATGCCCAACCCTATTTCAGAGACCTTGATGTTTTAGTTCAGCTGTAAGAGATTTGCAAAGATGGTACCGTGTGCAGGTTGGTTGCCCTCCACATACAACTCTAGTCAATCGTGATTTTCTACCCACATGTCTTTTTTATTTTAAAACCTTGCTCCAGGTGAGGCTTGAACTCACAACCTCGGCATTGCTAAGTATCGTACTGTCTTATAAGAACCGCGCGCTGACCGATTGCGCCACTGGAGCTGTTGCCTAACATGGTTTCAAACAATGCAGTGATTCTTAAAAACCGCAATGATGATACAATTTACAGCTTAGTTAGCATAGACAGATTAGTGTCGAAGATACAATCAGCAAGTTTTTTGCCCTCCACAATCTACTCTGGACAGCACCAGCTTTCAACCCACTTTTCTTCTTTATCTAAAGACCATGCTCCAGGTGAGGCTCAAAGTCACAACCTCGGCATTGCTAAGCATTGTATTGTCTTATAAGTACCACACGCTAAACCGATTGCACCACCGGAGCTATTGCATGAAGTCATTTTAAACAATGCAGTGATTTCTAAAAAATTCCTGATTCAGATCATAGAGGATTAAAAGCTTTCAGAGACCTTCATGTTTTAGTTCAGCTGTAAGAGATTTGCAAAGATGGTACCGTCTGCAGGTTGGTTGCCCTCCACATACAACTCTAGTCAATCGTGATTTTCTACCCACTGGTCTTTTTTATTTTAAAACCTTGCTCCAGGTGAGGCTCGAACTCACAACCTCGGCATTGCTAATCATTGTACTGTCTTATAAGTACCGCGCACTGACCGATAGCGCCACTGGAGCTGTTGCCTAAGTGGGTTCAAACAATGAAGTGATTCCTAAAATATTCCTCATTTAGATCATATTGATTAAAAGCTTTTTAGAGATCTTGGCGTTTTAGCTCAGGTGTAAAAGACTTGCATAGATCATACCATCTGCAGGTTGGTTGCCATCCACATACAACTCTAGTCAATCGTGATTTTCTACCCACTTGTCTTCTTTTTCTCAAAATCTTGCTCCAGGTGAGGCTCGAACTCACAACCTCGGCATTGCTAAGCATCGTACTGTCTTATAAATACTGCGCGCTGACCGATTGCGCCACTGGAGCTGTTGCTTAAGTGCTTTCAAACAATGACGTGATTCCTAAAACATTCCTCATTTAGATCATACTGGATTAAAAGCTTTTTAGAGATCATGACGTTTTAGCTCAGGTGTAAAAGACTTGCATAGATCATACGATCTGCAGGTTGGTTGACCTCCACATACAACTCTAGTCAATCGTGATTTTCTGCTCACTTGTCTTCTTTATCTCAAAATCTTGCTCCAGGTGAGGCTCGAACTCACAACCTCGGCATTGCTAAGCATCGTACTGTCTTATAAGTACCGCGCGCTGATCGATTGCGCCACTGGAGCTGTTGCACAATGTGATTCCTAAAAACAGCAATGATGATACAATCTACAGCTTAGTTATCATAGACAGATTAGTATCGCAGATACAATCAGCAAGTTTGTTGCTCTCCACAATCTACTCTGGACAGCACTAGCTTTCACCCCACTTTTCTTCTTTATCTAAAGACCATGCTCCAGGTGAGGCTCAAAGTCACAACCTCGGCATTGCTAAGCATTGTATTGTCTTATAAGTACTACACGCTTACCGATTGAGCCACTGGAGCTATTGCATGAAGTGATTTTAAACAATGCAGTGATTTCTAAAACATTCCTGATTCAGATCAGGCTTAGTCCCTTTATTAATCCGGGGTCGCCACAGCGGAATAAACCGCCAACTTATCCAGCACAATATTTACGCAGAAGATGCCCTTCCAGCCGCAACACATCTCTGGGAAAACAAATGACTAATATGCACTGGGATAATCTGTTTTTCATTAAACAGCTACTTGGTTATCTCAAAGCAGGCCGGCAGCCAGCCTGTTATAAATGGTCTTTTTCTAAAAATGTGGACTGTTGTAGCACTACTGTACGATCGGCGGAAGTTGGCTCGGGGTATTAAATTTTACCTGAAATGCGTCATGCGCCCATTGTTGTTGACACCTTGGAGTGAAAACAGACTGAACTTGAGGCCGGGTGACCTGGTCCGATAAAATCAATACACAGACAGCAATATCGTCCTTCTCGGAACCGCAACTGGCCATGGCGTGACTGCAGTATAACTCGCACGTCTCCCTCGTCAGCCATCATTCAACACGCGCGCGCTAACAGAAAATGGAAGACGCGTCTCTATAGCAACCTCTCGCGACACAACCTCTCCAATGAGGCGCCTCGTGATATTTGCAAACAAAACATATGGATCATTTTTATTATCATTTGACAGTAACGGAGGAACGCCGCGAAATGTAGTGAAGTAAGAGTACTGATTTTTCTCTAATATTTTACTTGAGTAAGAATAAAAGTACACACATTTAAATGTACTCAAAAAGTACACGTTACCCAATAATTTTACTTAAGTAAATGTAACGAAGGAAATGTAACTTGTTACTACCCACCTCTGCTGATAAGTCGGTTTATGGTAAAAGAACAGGAATTACTACATATAATATTAAAAAACTGAAAATATTATATGTTTAAATATTCAAAATAAAACAAATTTGAATACTAAATCATCTTTATTTTTTGAAGTGTGACATAAAATATTTCATATTCTCATTTAACATTTTTTTACAGTAAAACCAAAATCAATTGTAGCAGCACAACAGGATTTTGTGTTTGATTTTTTGTAAAACAAAAATGCTCTGTAGTGTAAATCATCATTTAAAACAGTCAAAATATGGTCAACTATTTGGTAGAGCAAGCAGTTAAAGGTTTAAGAATTTTAGATATTTGGTCTAGAAAACAACATGTCTACTTAAGAGCAGCATTTTCTTCAGTGTTCAAAGACATATTTTTTGAATGTCATTTTTGTAGTAAAAAAGCATAGACAATTTTTGTATTATTATTTTGTATTTTTAATGCACGTGTTCACACAATATTTATTTCAATAGTCTCTCTCACAGTTTCCTATTACTCTACAGACAGTCTATTGAAATGCATCGAGTTCGCCAGGAAAAAATTATGGTTATTTTGATTACTACGTAAGAGGCTACCAGAAACTAACTGATGCCATTTCAGTGTATTTGGCAGACAGAGAATACAGTGTTAGCAGTGCTGCCAGGTGTAAAGTGTGATAATTATATGTTAGCAAACTGGCAGAATCTGGCACAGGACCAGAGCTCCATGTACGGGCTTTCTAATGACATGTCAACCCACTCCTCTGGTGGCCTGGAAAGAACTTTAGTCAGCATATCAACACACTGAGGTTCTCTCTAAAAGTCACACAATACATTGCAGTCTTGCATCTCTCTGAAAAAAATCCAGAAGTTATCTGCTTCTTTGGTGTAGTTTTTGTGTGTTATTCTATAATTGCAGGTTTAGCGCCCTTAGTCTTTCTTTTTTCTTTCTTTTGTTTAAATAAAAGTATATGTTTAATTTCTAACTCAATGTCATTGATCAAAACATGCTAAAGGTCATAATAATATCATATTTTAGAGGTGAAAATCATGAATTTTTCGTTGTGCAAATTATATTACCATACCACAGTGTACCTTTAAATTGGTGAAAATATCCACCAGAATAATTTACAGGTACACTGTGGTATGGTTGTAGAAACTATGGCCAATTTAGTTTATTCAATTCATCTATAGCACATGTCTTTAGACTGGGGGAAACTGGAGCACCTGGAGGAAACCCACACAAACACAGGGAGAACATGCAAACTCTACACAAAATTTTTAGAAAAATAATAAGATGAAGGAAGGATAATCTGTTTGATTTGTATGATCTGACACACTGTAAGATATGTGTGTCCTCACAAATATTTACTTTAATCTGCTTATTCTTTTGATGAACTTAAACATGTTTAGTAAATCTTTAATTTTGAAATTACTGAAATTTACTTCAAGAATTAAGTAAATGGTACTAAACAAAGTAACTACATATAAATAAAAGTTCATATATTCTTAAACAATGTATTGTATGTCAATGATGTAAATCAATGATCCTAAAAAGTAAATTTCATTTACAGGATGTATTTACAATTCACTAGCATTTTTTGGTTTACTTTATCATCATCTATCATTTCTAAGAATCCTTTACAATTATAAAACCAAAAGCTAAACAAAACAACACATTATTTTGATTAAACTTTTTTTGATCACACTCCAGTTCATGCATAGAACAACAATTTTCGAAACATTACCAGGATGTTAACATAAACAAAAAACTCACATTTCAAAGATCACCTACATCTTTACTGAGCAATAGTTATGACACAGTGGCGTCCGTCATGTTTTAGGGTCATCTTAAAACATTTACGTTGTGTTTTGGTTTATTTTGTGCTGTGAGAAAATACAGCATGTTTTTAAAACGTGTTTGTCTTGTAAAAAATTTGAAGCATGTGTGCTGTCAAACAGATGAAGATCATTTTTTAATTTGCTGGAGTTTTTTGTAGTTGCACGTGTTTTCTCATGTCTTTCTTGGTACTATATTTCAGTAATTTCACAGGTTGAAGATTTACTTACCAAAAATGTGTAGATTATAGTAAAAGTATTTACAGTATGTCTGTCCCCAACAGTAATTTTGTTGAACATGACCCTTGTTACCCCAATAGAAAAAGCGAGCTTATTTAACAGACTTTTTACATATTTTTGATAGTGGGTTTTAAAGTCTTTCAATTGTGATTTCATTAGTGCCATGTGCACTTAGCCTTTATGCTAGCTAGCAAGTGGAGTTTTGGGCTAAAAGTTTAAAGTGGTAAATCTTGTTACTGTCAAACTGTGTTACCATGGTAGAATACATTCCATGAAATAATTTTCAGTAACAGCTTTAATAAACACCATCCATAAAGAACTTGGTTTTATGATTAAACACAAAAAAAGGAAAAAACTTTGTTTTACAACTACAACAAAGAGTTACTACAATTTTGTTACAATGTTTCAATGAGGTACAGGAAAGGTTTTCTCAGACTTATTTTCTGATACAAAGTCAGAGTAACAATGCTGACACTGTGGCAGAATTGTTAGAAACAAAGCTGAAAAACAATTCCTTAAAAAGTTTAAATGTTAGTAAGATAATCATAAGAGGTTTGTTTTTGGCAGTTCTGGTTCTAAAAAAATAATTTGTTAGCAAACTGTTTTTTTTTTTCCACTTTTTTATGACCTTTTTTACTCCTCAACTACAGAATGATTTTAACACTACAAAGAATTATTTAATCCAGGACAAAAGCAAATATTATTTAGGATCCAGTGACATGATGGTCATGTTAGATACAGTTGAAGTCAGAATTATTAGCCACCCTTTGATTTTTTTTTTCTTTTTCAAATATTTCCTAAATAATGTTTAACAAAGCAATTTTCAAAGTATGTCTGATAAAAAAAAATTCTTCTGGGAAAAAGTCTTATTTGTTTTATTTTGGCTAGAATAAAAGCAGTTTAAATAAAAAAAAAAATTTTTAAGGTCAAAATTATTAGCCCCTTTAAGCTGTTTTTTTTTTTCAATAGTCCACAGAACAAACCATTGTTATACAATAACTTGCCTAATTACCCTAACCTGGCTAGTTAATCTTATTAACCTAGTAAAGCATTTAAATGTCACTTTAAGCTGTATAGAAGTGTCTTGAAAAATATCTAGTCAAATATTATTTACTGTCATCATGGCAAAGATAAAAATAAATCTATTTTCAGTAATGACTTATTAAAACAGTTATGTTTAGGGAAAAAAATCTCATCTCCGTTAAACAGAAATTTGGAAAAAAGGCGGTTGGGGGGTGGAGGTGGGTAATATTTCTGACTTCAACTGTATGTGATTCTGAAATCCCCTTTAAAACCCAGAAGACCATCTGCAAATGTTAGAAGAGAAAATGGCACTGAAGTACTTGTTCAGCTTTCACCTACAGTTGTTTCAATCCTCCATCATTCAACTCACGCCAACTGATTGCATTAACCAAATGACTTTAAAATTCTCCTCCCCTCACCCCGTCTCTTTTAGATTGCCATGTATGATAAAGGGATTAAAGATGCATGATTTATTGTGATTAATATGATGGACTGTCGGGGGGCACATTTGGCTTCTGAAGTGTTGAGAGTTGACTGTAAAGGTTTAATGGGACGTCTATGAGTCTCTTTGAACTTAATGAGCCCATCAGTCTCGATTTGATGGATAGCAGCCACTGCGCTACTTTAAGTGCTCTCAGTAGTTCTCCTGTTTGAAATATTTGAAGATAACCCAAAATTGTCTGACTTTTATTTAAGGAAAAAGTATGATCTTTTAAGTATATTGCAGGAAAAGTGGTCTATGATTAAAGTTTCCCTATTTTGCATATAAGTAATGATATAAGTAATGACAGTACAAATATATCTAAAATG